ACGTTCCCCCTGGTCTTCGCCGAACCCTACTTCCTCCAATAGCTATCCTCTATACCTCATCACAGACGTGAGCGCTACACGCGCCACGTCAAATCCGCCTTTAACACATATCTGCTTCGTCGCGTCACACTGTCATTCTCGGTCGCTGACCCGCCTCCATCCCTCCCTACTCGGCGAGAGGGTTTGACCTGGCCATAGTCGGGTAGGCTTCGGCAGAACCCCGTCCCCCGGCCGCGTGCCAGGTTCGGGAGTCAGCAACACCGATTCTCCCGAACCGGTAGCGTTCGGCGGAGCGCTCCTGCGCCCGGCGTAACGCCCGTCCCCAGTTTGCGATTCTCGGTTTGGTGGTGATTTCTGAACACACACATGAACGTAGGGCCTCGTTCCATAACACACAACACTCCACATGTATCCCGTGCTCATAATCGTCCAGATTCGTTCTAAAAGTTCCACTCCTCCCAACGCACCCGGTCCAGAAAGGCGTCCCAATGCATGTAGAGTTTTGTGTACTGAACCGAGGCCCATACACGCGCACACATGAGCACACGAATGCAGAGAGAAACGCGCACACACCCGCACGCACACAACCACGCACACACACCCGCGCACACACCCGCACCCACACAAACGCGCACACACCCACACCCGCTCAAACGCGCACGCACGCATGTACACACGCACTCGCACTCCACTCGCACTCGCACTCGTGCGCGCACGTCCGGACTTTACGGCGGACAGATGGCAGGCACAGGCGGGTATCGCTGGCCGATGTGAAACCCTGTTGTGGCCGTTACCCACCGCTACGCGCCGTTAAGATTCTCTCTCCCATTCCAAAAGCCTGGCGGGCATACCAACTGCACGGAGAGTAACGGCGAGTAACGGGGGTTAACGGTACGGGCGCGGTGAGAGAGGTACGAAGTTATGTGTACGGAATTGAAGAGAGAAAGAGCGGCGGGATCGGGATCGGGATCGGGATTGGGACGGAGATGTTGAGAATGAGGTTCGTCTATGCAAGCCGCGGAGGAAAGGACGTAAGCCGGGTAATGCTTCCAGCCCCTTCAAAAAGTAAAAAAAAAAAAAAAGAAAAGAGAAAAAAGAAACCCTACGTCGGGATTGCAGTACAGAGGGCGAAGGTTGACGAGTAGGACTGTACACGTGGTTTATATGATCGGGATCGGGACGGAGACGTTGAGAAAAATGAGGGTTTGAGTGAACGATCAGTCGAGGTGCGGGAGGAGGTGCTTCGTCTACCCAATCATCCATTCCTTTTTTTTTTTTCTTTTCTATTCTTTTTTCGATTTCTTGGAAAACATCAGTCCAACTGTTGGACTTTCATCATCCCGGTGCCTCATGTAAAGGCGAGGATTTTTTTTTTTTTTTTTTTGGGTGTCTCTATACAAGCCGATGATTGTTTTTTTTTTTTTCCTTTTTGTTTTCTTCAATTTATCCGAATGTCGGACTCTCATCAGCCTGCTGCCGCATGTAAGGCCGAGGAATTCTTTCCCTTCCCCTTCTCTTCCCCCCCCCCCCTCTCTTAAGCCGAGGATTTCAGCTCTGCTTCTTGCTTAGGACCGTCAAAAAAAAAAAAAAAAAAGAACAGAAAAGAAAGAATGAAAGAAAGGACCATCATCAGTATGGATCATACATGAATGATTGATCACTTTCATTGCCACGTGGCTAATTCTAGTTGTCGTTGCAATGATTTCTTTTTCCGCTTTGCAAGCGGAAGGTCGCCACGTCGATCGTACCGACTCCCGACCCCCTGGATGTATGATTCGAATCATGTCATGCATGTATGATTCGAATCATGTCATGCATGCATGATGATCATGTTCATTGCCACGTGGCTAATTATAGTTGTGGCGATGATTAGAGTTCCGCTTTGCAAGCGCAAGGTCGCGAGTTCGATTCTCCCACCCCCACCCTGGTCTGCAGTTTTCTCCTTAACTGATAACTGTCCCCTGTGCAGTCTCGTCCAAGGAGGAGGAGGTTTTATAACTTTTCCCACTTTGGATTTGACGTCTGATGTTGTGGATGATCTTCTGTCAGTTCCAGGTCAGTATCACTCTGCCGCCACGTGGCAGGGAATGCTCGACGGATAATTCTTCTGCTGTAAAATATTAAAAAAATCCGCTGTGTTCTGTTGACAGATAATCAGGCAACGAATTGCGTAGAGTGGGCCCAGATCTCAGACTGTCATCGCGTTGGTATTCTTTTAAGAAAAGTGGGCACCATCTCCCGTTTTTTTAATTTTATTATTATTATTTTTTTCACTGGCCGTCTTTTTTTACTCCACCCCGCTGTGGACAGGAAAGAGCAGAAATGCAAACGGTGAAATTTGACGCAAAAAAAAAAAAAAAAAAAAAGAATTAAGAAGTCGTTTCCCAGATAATATATAGAATCGATCAGGTAAGGAACGACCAGCGCAGAGAATTGGATTGAACGCCTGGATCTGGACGCGTTCGTGGAAAGATGCAGAAAATCGAGATTGAAATGCATTTCTGCGTCTCTGCTTAAAACACGTCCAGATTCAGGATCTTAATCCCATCCTCTTTACTAGTGGGACCTCAACCCAGGTAAGGAACCCCGTGACTAAAGTAGCCCAGATTAAATTGTCATTTGTCTATTTTGTGTGTTTCTGTCTTGGGGGCCGGTGTGGGGTAGGAGGGGGAGGAAGGCGGCGCGGCTTGCCTGTGAGCCTCCTTTCACCCGCGTTTGGGCGCGTCCATTAACTTGCGTGCGTGCGCGTGCGCACGCACAAACACACACACACACACACACACACACACACACACACACACACACAGAGAAGAGGAAGTACTATGGATCATGGATAATGAAGATAGCCGGGCCAGCAGGTATGCGTTTGTGGCCAGAGGGAAAAGTCGCCATAGCATCTCCTTGAACATTGCGTCCGTATTTCTTGACGCGCATTCAATGCCTGAACGGTCATTCATGCACTTCACGCGTGCGAATGTGCACCTCCCCTTCTCCTCGTCCTCCTCTCCTTCTTGTGTGTGTGTGTGTGTGTGTGTGTGTGTGTGTGTGTGTGTGTGTGTGTGTGTGTG